CAGGTTTGAGCCTTAAAGTGTATATCAGTTCAAATTATATTTGCAATGTTTTCTGTAGTTTTTGTACGCTGAATCCGCTCGTAGCATTTTTTTGTGTTTATTTCGATTAAGGGTAACTAATTATTTGGCTCAAAGTTTGAACCCGTGGGGAAAAGCCGCGTACGTTGGAGTCTGGAACAGAGAGTAGCCCTGACGTAGATTACGGAACGCCTTTTCTCATGTGTTTGTTTTGTCGTACGGAGAGGTGTTCGAGATGAGTTCAAAATCGGATTCAGGGAGTTCAGAGTCTTTATCAGAAGAAACTTCTAGTTCTTGAATTGATTATGACATTGAGCACGGACGATAGAGACGGATGTCTCCAGGTAATGATGCATATAGAAACGCTGGTTGCAGTCAGAAGAGGAATGGGAAGACAGCTTGAGCCATATACTTGGGAGCTTTGGCTGACGAAGAATGGCTGAAAAGCTACAATGCAAGGAGAACCAGGACCGAAAAGCAGTCTTGCAGTGTTAAAAACAGATTTAACGGACGTTTGCCCATAAGTTTGTTGGTAAGTTTTATTTTTTTGGCATATTACCTCGCTTGAATGTTCTCCAATTATCGAACCGGGTAGGCCCTCCATATTTTGAGAATCGCCAATCTGCATCTAGGCCTACACTGCCATTCCCATGTTGTTTTATTCAAAATTAAGGCCCGTAATAAAATTCGCTCAAAAACAAGTTTTTCTAGAACTTGAAGTGTAGTTTGTATAAATAAAAGGAGTGATTTTAAGGATTCGAAGGCAAGGTAGTTGAACCAAACCTAGTCAAAGTCTAGTGAATTACGTTTTTTTTTCCGAAAAAAATTGCGCTTAAATGTAGGATTTAATAAACTGGCCCCTCATTCTTGAGGAAATTGATTGGTATGTAGTACAGAGCATTTTACAAATAAAACCTTAGCAAAAGTACTGAGTTGGAAGCAGTTAGATTCAGCACTGACAAGTGGACTAACATTGTCGGTGGAATGAGATTGGTCGTGGTCCTAGAATGTTATTACAGAGGCATCCAGGATTTAGGCCATTGTGCTAGAGCCCTGATCACTGAGATTTGCGGCTGATAATATACAAAAACGAAGCTCAAAGAAAGATACAAGAAAACAAAATCAGATTTCAGGTTATTTGTGGTATTATAAGTGAAAAAATACAACAACAATAAAGCCTTTGAATTTCCGTAAATGTTGTAGACCTTATATGTTCAAGATGTCAGCATTTTCAGAAATAACATAAGATCTAGGATTAAACCATTTATTGTTATTTCTATTGGTAAAATATTGTACAGGCAAATGTTTAAAAACTCCTTGTGGCAATTCTATCAATAATATAATAAACAACTACATACTAGTAGTTAGGCTATATGTGGAACCATTAGTGCTGATGACTTTTCTTGATCTTCAGGTTCTTTCGGCTGTATCATACAGAGAATTACAAGGCTCGTTCATGGACGTCTGGGAACAGAAAGATCCCCCTCCCAGCTTGCCTACAATGTTATCCTCAACAATTTTCAGAACAGGACTTAGTTGGTTATCATTCGGAATAATTATGATAATTATTAATGCAATTTTTTTAATGATGTAACCTATTGGCCTGAGCATAGTTTTCTAAGGCAATCAAAGATGGTCATATTAAACATACTTGATAAAAATCTTATTGACAATGTGTGCTTAAATATTTTACTTATTTACAAAATACAAGGCTAGAGGAGTGCTTGGCTTCTTTCTTAAGGCTGTTCCAAAAACTTGCCGCCCACCTAGTAAGGAGGAAATCCTTTGGTGAAATCTTGTTTTTTACAGGGCAAGTTCTTGATTTTCTGGTGATCGTGTTTAGCTCTCTACTCAAACATTGTCTTTCTTCTAGTAAAAAGGTTTTGCAAATATTCAGGCATATATAATGTATTTCAGTATTACCAGGATTTAATAACAGTCCTATTTCAAAGCCTCTACAAATCAATTTATTTCCTTTTTGCCATGGCAGCCCTATATAAAGTAGAAGCATTTAGGTTCAGGCTTTATGATGTTTATGTACAATTTCATTTAAGTCCATCAAGAATGGTGTTGCCTTCCAATTTTAATTGTACATAAACATCATAAAGCTGAACCTAAATGCTTCTACTTTATATAGGGCTGCCCTGGCAAAAAGGAAATAAATTGATTGTAGAGGCTTTGAAATAGGACTGTTATTAAAATCCTGGGTAATCTGAATACATTATATATGCCCTGAATATTTGCAAAACCTTTTTACTAGAAGAAGACAATGTTTGAATAGAGAGCTAACAAGATTCACCAGAAAATCAGAACTTGCCCTGTAAAAAACAAGATTCACCAAAGGATTTCTCCTACTAGGGGGGGCAAGTTTTTGGAACAGCCTTAAGAAAGAAGCCAAGCACTCCTCTAGCCTTGTATTTTGTAAATAAAGTAAAATATTTAAGCACACATTGCAATAAGATTTTTATCAAGTATGTTATAATATGACCAGTCTTTGATTGCCTTAGAAAACTAGCTCAGGCCAATAGGTTACCATCATTAAAAAATTGCATTATAATTATCATAATTATTCCGAATGATAACCAACTAAGTCCTGTTCTGAAAATTGTTGACGGATAACATTGTAGGCACAAGCTGGGAGGGGGATCCTTTCTGTTCCCAGACGTCCATGAACGAGCCTTGTAAATTCTCTGTATGATACAGCACGAAAGAACCTGAAGATCAAGAAAAGTCATCAGCACTATTGGTTCCACATTAGCTAACTACTAGTTGTAGTTGTTTATTATATTAATTGATGAGATTGCCACAAGGAGTTTTAAACATTTGCTGTACAATATTTTTACCATAGAAATAAATAATGGTTTAATCCTGATCTTATGTTATTTGAAAACTGCTGACCCTTGAACCATATAAGGTCTACACTTTTACGGAAATTCAAAGGCTTTATTGTTGTTGTATTTTTCACTATATAAATATACACAAATAACCTGAAATCTGATTTTGTTTTCTTGTATCTTTCTTTGAGCTTCGTTTTGTATTTATCAGCCGCAAATCTCAGTGACCAGGGCTCTAGGCACAATGGCCTAAATCCTGGATGCTCTGTAATACATTTAGGCACAGAGCCAAATTCATCCACCACAATTTCACTTGTCAGTGCTGATGCTACTGCTTCCAACTCAGTACTTTTGCTTCAAAGGTTTTATTTGTAAAATCTCTGTACTACATACAATCAATTTCCTAAGAATGGAGGGCCAGTTTATTAAATCCTACATTTTAAGCCAAATTTTTTTCGGAAATAAAAAACAGTATTCTACTAGACTTTGACTAGGTTTGGTTCAACCTACCTTGCCTTCGAATCCTTAAAATCACTCCTTTATTTTATAACAAACTACACTTCAAGTTCTAGAAAAACTTGTTTTTGAGCGAATTTTATACGGGCCTTAATTTTGAATAAAAACATGGGAATGGCAGTGTAGGCCTAGATGCAGATTGGCGATTCTCAAAATATGGAGGGCCTACCCGGCTTCGATGAGATTGGCGAACATTCAAGCGAGGGTAATATGCCAAAAAAATAAAACTTACCACAAACTTATGGGCAAACGTCCGTTAAATCTGTTGTTTAACACTGCAGACTGCTTTTCGGTCCTGGTTCTCCTTGCATTGTAGCTTTTCAGCCATTCTTCGTCAGCCAAAGGCTCCCCAGTATATGGCTCAAGGCTGTCTTCCCATTCCTCCTGAACGCAACCAGCGTTTCTATATGCATCATTACCTGGAGACATCGCTCTATCGTCGTGCTCAATGTCATAATCAAGTTCAGAACTAGAAGTTTCTTCTGATAAAGACTCTGAACTCCCTGAATCCGATTTTGAACTCATCTCGAACACCTCTCCGTACGACAAAACAAAACACTGAGAAAAGGCGTTCCGTAATCTACGTCAGGGCTACTCTCTGTTCCAGACTCCAACGTACGCGGCTTTTCCCCACGGGGTTCAAACTTTGAGCCCAAATAATTAGTTACCCTTAATCGAAATAAACACAAAAATGCTACGAGCGGATTCAGCGTACCAAAAACTACAGAAAACATTGCAAATATAATTTGAACTGATATACACTTTAAGGCTCAAACCTGCTATTATTAATCTTTTTCAAAATATATAGGATGGGTTATTTTATCTTGTTTTTGAATTCCTAAGATTATTAATAATAAAACACTGGGTGTGTATGATGCGGTTATCTTTTCTTTAATAACACAAGCCCAAGATATATCCAAATGAGGATAATGTAATGAGCGAATAAATTAAGTAAGAGAAGGAAATGAATTTAATTTTGGTCCACTTTATAACGAGTACATGCTCGAAACGTCTTAAAATGTGTTTTTATACACAATTTATGTCATTTCGATACTTAGTTTGTTCGCTTTCTATATTATCGTTATTCGGATTAATTACCACACACAACTTACATACTTGAAACTATATCCTGCCATCAAAGATATATCATTGGTATCGACGTTCTTTCATTCTTACATTTTATAGACCTCAACCTCAACTTGTTTTTAATTTGTTTTTCCTGTTCAAGCTTCGGGTTTTTTAATAAAAATATTCTTGAAAAATAATTAAGCCCTAATAAAATAAATAATAAATAATTGTTCTGTTCATAAAAAAATTAATTCATGTGTTCATTGGCAATTAAAGAAAGCAGCTCACTGTTAATACGCAAGTTTCACAGTTTTTAAGGTAATTTTTTAAACATCGTAGGGCGGAGAGACGAGTCTAGTATCGTCACAGAGACAAGGCAAGATGTCAGCCCGATAAATATGTAAGCATAATAATTGATGGCATGGACCAGTCAAAAAAAAATATTCCCCATTACATAACTGATACAAAGGTTTGTAGCCTTGATTCATGTTTCTAGATCCTTTTTACGGATCGCTATGTTAGTTAGGGCAAATGGCCATTTCATTTTTTCAAGAATAATTAATTGATCACTTCCTCTTTCCCCATTTTTTGAGGATGTTATTATTGTTTATCTAAATTTAAAAGTGAAATATTTTCATAACACTAGCGAAAAAATTATTTTTGCTCATTTTGAATAACTATGCATTTTTCATAATGAAAAATAACTTTTTGCCCCACAGGAACACAAGAGCCACTTTTACAAGACACATATAACTGGTGTTTATTCCCACGGCCACAAGAAGTCTTATCAATATATACATTGCCAAGAATGGCCACACGACTGAGATGTTACGCTGAACGTCTTGCTAAGGTCACTTGTATCATTGTCAAAGGTACAACAAAAATTCACTGGTTCTCAAGTTTTCTTAAAAACCATTTAAAGAACAGCAAGGAGTTTTGATCATCATGTTTTTAAATAACTTCAAAACCTCATCTGTAATAAATGCCTTCAAAACAAACAAGTTGAGTTTTTAGCTACCGGTACCTTTCCCATAGGATGGACATTTGCCTGGCATCTTATACCTCCATATGGATAACTGCTGGCGGGAATAAAAACATATGCGTCATGGCCATGTTTGCATTGCTTGTGCAAATGAAAATATTTTGAAAGGTTAGTGCTTAAGAAACAAGGCATTAATATGTTGTTTTGATATAAAGACAAATAATAAGCTCTTTAATACAATTCTATTAGGACCTTAACTAATGATACACAATCATTATTGAGAATCTACTTGTCTAGTGCATTAAAGCTATGTAGTCCAGGGAGTCGCTAAAGGTGGGAATGGGGGCGCAGTAATCCGAATCACTTTTTCCAAATCACATAAAGGATTTTGCCGGGCAAAAGAAGTAACGTTTTTCTCACCCTGTTACCTTTTTGCAATAATTGTAACGTATTAACATTTCAGCGTTAACACTTCCTTGTTGTTGCAAAAATTATTTCTGTACTCTCCGGAATTTTTTTTTGACCTCCTCCCTGTATGTAGTGAGAACTAATGATAAGATTGATAGTTCCTTGAAGTTTTTTCAGTTTTCTGTATCAATTGAATGTATTCCTGATAATTTTTTTAACCCAATTTTTCTTCATGTAGGTTCGCTTGTCTTTTCTGATGGTTGGTCATACTCACGAAGACATTGATCAGGTGACCAGTTTTTAGAATTTAGGTCATTAGTTGTAAGTAAATGAGCCTGGTATACCATATAAATTTTCCCCATTCTTTTCAACGATTCCTCGAAAAAACCCCTCTAATTAGAAAAATTGAAGGAATTTTAGCATTTCTATGATGCTGTTTGCCGTTTTCTCCTACTTTGTTGAGGAAATACACAAATGACTTTTTGGTTGAAACATGAAGCTCCTTTTCAAGGCTTGTATTAGGATTAATACTTTGCTGATTACACTTTCGTTGTACTTGCACATGCACATTGTAAAAAGTATAAAAATTTGTTATTGTAATTAAAGGGAGTTGTTTGATTATTATCTTATTAACGGTGTTTGTTATAAAATGATGATAATGACAAAAACGAGCTTCCCTTAGTGTGAAACTGAATCAAACTTAAAAAACCCAAGCTGTTGATGCAAAAAATGGCTTAACTTTTCAATCTTTTATAGCTCTTCAGTCACATTGCGTCAAAGCTGAGAAGGAGCAATGCCGTGACTTTGCCTGACCTTATGGCACTGATCAAGCACGCCTACGCACTGCTGCACGAAGTGGAAGTGCTCCAGTACGTTTTTGCAATTAAGAGTTGGCTTACGCCACATATCTCCAAAATCCAGCAGCACAGTAGACCTCATGCCTTTAAATTTGAAGCCTGTGACAATGGGAAAGCTGGCATGTTTTATAAGAATTGGTCATCTGAAGGAGAATGGAAGGGTGATGAGAATGGCAACTATTTTTTCATGCCTGCAGGATCTCTGTCATTGTCAAGAGGCATTTGTCATTACTACATTACAATGCGAGAACAGTATGGAAGTCATTACAACCTCGAAGTTGTAATGAACGATTTGCACTGAAGGAAAAAGAATGGTGGGAGAAATTCGAGAAGGAAGAGCGGACGAAACGTTTCATGTGGGAATCGTTAACCGCCAAGGAGCTCTCGCGGGCCGGTAATTTTAACTGGTATCTGAACAAATCAAAAAAATTTTCAGATAAGATAACTCGGTCGAGTGTGAAGCATGACATGACAAACTCACATATATAAGTACCTTCTGTATAATCACTGTCATAAAAATCACAAACACGAAATATGCATTCGATTTGGTCTGTGTCGCAGGCTGCACCATGCGATCGATGGTAACAGCAATGGCATAGCGTTGATCACATCGCATCATGTTAATTCTCACAAAACACCAAGGAAAACATGAGTAACTTACAGGAAGGACCATACCAACCATAGGATTATTTGTTAAATAATATTTACAAGATTTTCATTGCCAAATAGCGAAAATTGTTGCGGGAAGACTGCAAAGACATGCATGGGATTCGGCGTGAAAACGGTTTGGTTAATGTGGTGAAAAGCCTAAAGCTCATAAAAAGGAGATTGCTGCTAACCTTATAGTAACCAGGTAATGCCTCATTTCGTTTTATAATTGAAATTTCCAATAAAAGTTTTTTAATAATTTCATGGAATTAACATAAAGCGTTTACTAACATAGGATTTGTTTCACCGAAACATTCAGATTTTTCATGAAAGTGGGGCGACTACCACCCACAAACCCTCCCCTCTGCATAGAAAGTGTCGCGAGAGCACGCCCGAAGTCCTGTAGAAAAAGTCAAAAATGCTTTTTGTGTTGCATGCAGTGTTTTGCCACGAAGGCGGAATATCAAAGGCATCAAGCAGGATTATCGCCCGTCCATGCGCTATCATCAGGATTAGCACCAATATCACTGTCATGCAATTTTTTGGGAAAATGCAGACTTCTGATTGGCTTAGGCGGTAGAAGCTGCTTTTTTCTACCGATTGCGATTAATCATGTTTGATTTTGATTGGTCTGTATTTTCTTTCTCCTTATGGCATGGATTTTCTCCTTATGTCGTGGATCGCGTTCCTGGTTAAATGGAGTGTGGCTAGAAATGTTAAGTTAAACGTACATTTAATGTTTTCCTCACTTTTATTACATAGCCTTTGACTATAACGGGCTCTTGTAATAGAAATTATAACTCATGCTTCCATTACGTCTTGGTGTACACTCAACTTTTAAAATTATTTTTAAACATGCTTCAAGAAGCTAGAACTGAACTTTGGTATAGTAAGAAACTTGGTATACGTAGCCAAAAATGGAGAAACAATAGAACTTTGAAAAGGATAATGGTTGGCATATACTACACAAACGAAATTTTTTCACCAAGATTACACAAATTACACAAAGAATCAAAGTCTTAGAGCCAATGACATGAGAATTAAGAAACGCGTGCTGAATATTGCAGCATCGTTAAGAAACTGGATCGACCTTTGTTTGTTATAAAAAAATGAGTTTATGTATTATGATTGTATTCTCATGTATTATTGAAATAAAAAATGAATTATTATATTCTCATGGTAAAACAATGCTTTAATCCTTTTGTTAAACAAAAATTTATCACAGTAATTCCAAGGAAGAATAACTTTCTTCACCATTTTTTTGTTTTTATTTTCACCTTTTATTGTTTGGTGTAAGAGAGGGTTATATCTATTTCTACTGCAGGATGAGTTGAACTACTTGTATGCCAAAGTGAAGCCTAAAGATCGGTTTTATGTAAAAGAAAATAAAACATTCTACAAAGGATTGAATGCCAAGGGTGATGAAGATGAGCTAGACCCACTTTTTGCAGAATGCGTTATTGGGTCTGCTCTTGCAAAGCACTCTCAGCCCATCTCACTGTAGTCAGAAGGTTGGTTTCAGAAGATGGGTTTTTAAAACAAAGATATATTGAATTTATAAAGTCAGGGGCAGACCTAATAAAAGTTCGAGTCTCTTATATGAAAACGCTCCACCGTTTTTTCTTTGTTACTTGTATAGAAAACTTTCGTAAAAGTCTTTAGGATAATCCTTTCATTTCTCTTTCGTATATCTCTGTGGTTTTCACCAAAAACTTTGTTATTTGCATGTCATTATTCAAGAAATCATGTAATAGCGTATGTTGTTGAATAAGTCTCCACATTCGAAAAAGCCTTCTCCTTGAATAAAGCACCCACCCAAAAGTTAATTGATCGCCGTGAAATTTAAATACAAGGTATCAGGGTATTTTCTTGTTCAACTCTTTTACTTTTTCGCAACATAGCCTGTCCTAACCTTAAAATTAATTTTCATGACATTAGAAATAATTAAATTGCAGGACTATTCTTCTCAGTCACAAGGCCTTCCTAAATCAGGCAAAATTTGCGGCAGCTTTGGAGAGAAGTTTTGGGGCTGGCTTGATTGTCAATGGGTCTCTGACAGAAGGGGACCTTTCCGATTATATTATGTTTCTGAAAACAGATTACGTAAGCGAAAATTCTGCCAGAAATTACAATGTGGCAAAACACATAGGATACATCGAAAACAACTATTGGTTTCTTTCACCAGAGGTTTGTACATTCTTACAACACATACCTTACAACGTAATCTGGGACGGATTTACTGGGAATGTTTTTGTGCTATCGGCAAAATTTTGTTTTGATTCGGTAAAAAGTTTTTTTGGTAGTCAATAGCAACAAAATGACGCCATTTTTGTTTAACTAGTAACCCTTTCGCCGCCTTCTCCAAACTTTTTCGAAATAGCAACAGAATAGATCCCTCATACATTTAAACAATTATACACACTAAAAAACCTTAATACATTATTAAAAATATTTTAATTCAGTCTGAATTCTATGTGTGGTATGGAAGAAAACAGTCAATGCACAGAAAAATGTCGCATTTTGTACCTTTGTACATAACTTTGCTGCCGCATTCATTCTTGCAATAACCTTTCTTATCAGTTTTCACTACAAAGTGTTGTATACCATCATATCTTTTTGTTGCATTTGGCTGTTGCCCAACAGATCTTTTTCTTTATGAAAATTTACCAATTAAATTTTTTGACAATTCAATTCGAAAATCCTTTTGGCCACGTTTTTTGCATTTGGTTGGAATTGTTGCAATATCCAAGCATTTACAATGGCTTGCTTCAGCAAATCAAAAAAGATAGGCATCCACCATCTGTAAGACTTCCTTGAAAAATTTTGATATGACATCATCTGATCATTGGTGTCTACACCTCCCATATTTTGACGATATGGTTTTATACAAGGTGGGCACTGTCTTATGATCTTCTAAGCTGTCCCTTTTCGAGACTTTTTCACCAAGTCTGTTTCCTTGGGTATTGGCCTGCTCATTGAACTAATGAGTATAACATCCTTTGTGTCCTTCCACTTTGTCACCACAATTTGAGGATCTTTCATATGCCAGATCATTTCCCCTGGCTGGAGCTTAGCCTCCTTTATTTCTTTTGGCAAACCAGCCTGGTTTGGACGAATGGTTGCAGTTGCAAACATTCCTTCTTTATATAGCCCATCAATTAGATCCACAGAAGAAAAAAAAATTGTCAAAGTATAACATTCATGGCTGGCCTGGTTGCAGTTCTTTAGCCAACTGTTGTTGTTCGAAATGTTTAGAGCAATTCGAAAAAGTTTGATACGACTGCATCTTCACTCAATGTGACAACAGGCCCTGACTTTTTTCTGAATGTTGAAAGGCCCTGACATATTGGTCAAGTCTCATCATACTCTTGTAAGTGATCAATTAGTTCTTGCTTTCTGCCAGTCGCAGCAATTACTCGATTTTTGCAGAGCTCTTTCAGCTCCCCAAGATTCTTTTTCGCATTCTCTTCAAAATTCTCCTCAAAATCGTCATCATTCACAACAAAGTCAACCTCTCAACCTTCGCTGTCGGACGCCATTTTGAATTGAAACTTGGCATAAAAGTTCCCGGATAATTGGACTTCAGATCGAGGCTGTTAGGCTGGGTACCTCACTTCTCAAATTTTTTTATTGCTATAAAAACATCCAATTTTTCAAAATTTTGCCTTGAAGTTTTCGAAAAATACTTGTATCAAAAAAATTAACTGTTCTACTGTGGAAAATTTGCACATATATTATAAATTGAATTATCAGCTTTGTTTTCATACTAAATATGACTTGACTGAGCTTTGCAGAGCGAAGAAAAATATTTTATTGCGAAGCGCGTTTTTTTCGTTAAAACCCCTATGTTCGAAATTTATATTTGAAAAGCGAAGATGTAAGACAATTTAGTTTAAAAGTGAAATTTAGAATGGGCGTTTTTATCATTATTGAGGCACCTAAAGGGCAAGGCACCAAAAGCCGATCATTATACAACACCCCCCCCCCAATCCTTGCATCTAAAATCTACCCATGGATGTTATAGAAAATTAAATGTTTTCAAAGCAATGTGTTACTTACATAAAGCATACAAAAACTGCATAGTATCGAAAGCATGCAATATAGCAGTTTCATCATTGATTTCTCAGGTGCAAATCTCAAATGGAAAGCTTTTGGATGAAAACGAAATGCAGTATATGGTCATGTCCGAAGACCAACTTGGTAGCATGTACCTAAATCCTAACTAGGGCTGCTGCGTCAACAAAGGAAATGCATTAAAGTTTATAAAAAATTAGGCTATATTTCTCAATTTTTCAGAATTTTTATCCCGATAAAGATAGCTTTCTTATATCCATTTAACAAATATATTTTAAAAAACAAACACGTTTAGAACATATTGAAGCTTTTCATCTTGCAGTATGCAGATCACTTCTCCAAGAAATACGACTGTGAAGTATATCCCCATTTGCAAAGCAAAAAGCGAGCACATGACTGAAACTATTAATTATTCATTCTTCCACTTCTTGTCTTTTCCAAGGCTAATCTGCATACTCTACTGTAAGGCCACTGGCAAGCCCGCTTAGCGGGCTTCGTGGGGGAGCTAGTCAGCAACTATTCTTTCAAAATTTTCGTTCAGTTGTAACTCAGTTTTAGCTTTTTGAAGCTTTTTATATTATCTAAAGACATGTTTCCTCTTTCATTGTTAAGAAAATTAGCATCCTTTGAAAAGTTCCCTTCTTGATCGGCAAACATCTTTTGAAGTCAAAATTCATTAAAAACAACCTCCCTAAATTATAATTACAGACTTCTAATCTAGAATGTCTTTTTTCATTTCAGGGCTACCTTAAAAATTATATAGTATCACCAGGTCTAAAAAACTGGATATCAGGAGAGAGATGTCCTGCCTAATATAATGATATCTCGCATACATACAATCCATGTCTAACAAATTGTCTCTAGCCACCGAAAAAAATTATAGTCTTAAAATTCACAATTGCACAGCTAAAATTCACAGTTTCACAATTTATCTGAAATTTATAAGGAAGCCTATGAGAATGGGTTTCGGTACCACCGGTACCTTTGGTACCACATTTTATGAACAGTGATGTTCAAACCATATTGATTTGGGAAAATTATTTTCTAGAAACCCAGAAGTTTACATAAAAGGTCAAGTTATACTTTTCTGAATAGACTTTGGATCCTTTTCATTAGAGCATTTGCCTTTCTAATAATCCTTTTCAAAAACGTATCAAAAGACCCTTTGCATGTAATATACCAAGAAGTTAACTTGTACAGAGGGGCAGAGGGGAATACCTTATCTCGGGGGGATGTCAAAGTTTTGATTCCGTCAGCTGATCTAACTGTCGTCAGATGACTATGATGTAATATTTAAATTTTACCTTGCTGAAAGAGCAATAAGTGAATTACAATAGATGCTATTTATGGGCCATTTCATATGTTGCGTGTCTCTTGATGGCTATAAAAGCTTTTCCACTGAAGACAAAATCAGTATATTTTAGAAGACTACAAATTAAGTCGCATTGCATAGGTTGAAAGCGAAATGCCAAGGACGTATGTAAACGAAGCAAAATCTTAGCAAGAAAGGGATATGGAGAGCGCTTTGCTAGAAGTTCCTATCGCCCCTTGAAACAGAACTTTGCGCATTAGGAAAGCTGCAAAGACATATGGTTTATCAGGATCGGTAAGTCACTTATTCAACTGATTGAACAGGCAGATATTTTGTGAACAATTTATTTTTGAAAGTTTATCAATCTTCAAAACCAGAGTAATTTTTACATGGCCGAATTAATTTCGATAAGATCGTAGTAGCTAAATCAAATTGAACAAAATGGAATAAATCTTTGATTGAGAATTATTTTTGAAAGAAATTAACACCTGATATTTCATCTCATAAAACATCCGCCATCGAATTGGCAACAAGAAGATTGGAGGCTCGAAACACTCCAAGGGCGAAATCCGATGCTGGACAAAGAGACAGAAAAAAATTGGCTGAGTGCATCAATGTTATGTGTAACCTTGGTTTTAGCCCCAGCACAAGCGAAATATTGGAGCTGGCCACTGAACATGTAGCCAATAATAACATTGTGGTACCTCTGTTTAAAGATGGCAAACCAGAAGATTTTGGCTGGCTGCTTTTATGAAAAGGAACAACCTTTCTCTGAAGAAGGCAGAAATGATCAGTGTGGCCAGAAAATCAGCGACAGGGAACCTTTTGTAATATATGACTTTTATGAAAAAATTCATGAACTGGTCAAGGAAAAAGGATTTAAGCCTCATCAGATATTGAATTGCCACCAATCTGGTTTCCAGAATGACCTCTAGCGATGCAGAGTGATTGGGAAAAAAGGCCAACGCACATTCAGAATTATATGTGGTCCGGAAAGGAAAACACAACAACACTTGCAGTTTGCAATGCTGCTGGCCGTGCTCTCGACCCACTGGTGGTTTTTTCCGGGAAAAATCTACAGTCAACATGGCGAGGAGAACGAGCACTGAAGGACACCTGGTATGGAGTTTCAGAGAACGGATGGATGACAAGTGAGCTCTTTGCATCTTGGTTTGACTGGTTTGCCATAAAGGTCACAGAGCGTCCACTGCTGCTTGTTTATGATGGTCATCTCACTCATGTGACTCTGCCAGTTATAGAGAGGGCAAGATCCGAAGAAACTTCTATTGTCAAATTGCCTCCCCATACTACAGATCTCCTTCAACCACTAGATGTTGCCTGTTTCGGACCACTAAAAAGGCTTTGTTGACAGAAACTGAATGATTGGGTCAGCCAATGGGGTGCACAAGAACCAGTAAGAAAAGCGCATTTTGTCAACCTGTTGTCGGAAATTTGGCATCTTGGTTATCTTCTCAAAATATAAAAGCAGGGTTTGAAGCCACTGGGATTTTTCCTGTTGATAGCTCCAAATATCCAATTTCAAGGCTTGATGCCAACATGCTTAAAAAGTACAAGGCCTGGGTTGAATCTGGTAAATGCTTTTGACAACCTGTTGCACGAAGCAAGGACCAGTCCAAAAAAGCAGCATCACCAAAGAAAATGTCAACCCCCTAGAAGACATCAACGCCAAAGAAGTTTTCTCCAAAAAAACAGCATCCTTTAAAGAACAAGCTTCACCAGATTGCCCTGCCTGTAAGGAACTTGGTCCTATGCCATCAAATGCACCAGAAGGAAAGCAGTGGATAAGATCCTGGATTTTAGACAATGTCGCTGTGGTTCTCGCTACAGACTCTTCACCCTCAACTTAAGCAAGTTTTGAAAAACTTATTTTGCACAAGATTAAGGACTCGTCAAAAAAGGAAACCAATAAGCGAAGGAAGATTGACCTGAAGACAAGAGTTGTGACGGATGACTGAAGAGAATGAACCAAAGAAAGGAGGTATCAGAAAAAGTCGAAGACCAAGTAAGAACGCTGTTCCAAGGAGGCACAGAATGCGACATTTCAGCCTGGAAGATGAAGCTATCTCAGACGATTCAACGGATAGTAATGATTCCCAGAGTGACTCGAAAGAAACAAATAATGGAAAAGAAGTCAGAGAAATACAAAAAGAGCAAAAAGGCCAGGAATCTACAGCAAAAAACAGAGGGAACACTGAAGAAAGTCAGCCATCGCAAATCGTCAGTGGCAAAGGATACAAATTCGAAGAAAATTCAGCTGCACACTCACGATTCAGTACAATAAGAAGACATGACTTCTACGGATGTTGAAACTATTTTTATTAGCTGTATTTTTAGCTTATTGACATCTGTATTTTTTGTATTAAATGGAAATCTTGATTTAAAAAATTATTTACAGCAAATATCAACAAATTTATTGAATCAAATTAACATTTTTTTCTCCTTTTTGTGGTTAAAAATTGCGCACCAGTTTTTCATTCTTAAAAAATAATCTCTTAAAGAATGGGTAGCAAATATGTGTGAACAATCGGGAGGGAAACCACTACTGGTTAAACCACTATGAATCACTACTGGTTAAACCTCCAACATAACATAAAAAATTGTTAGAATTCATAATCCAACTTTTGAAACACCTTCTATTTTAGTATTTTTGCAGTAAGATTTTGTGAATTGCTACTGATTAAACTTCCAACATAGCATAACTAAGTTTTGAAACTCATAACTCAATTTTTGAAATAATAATAATGTTAGCATAAAGCAGATCATGGCAAAAATGAGAAAGATCCTAAGTTGGTAGAAGTTGCTACTGAGAAAGCTCCTTGATTTATCTTGTAGAATAATTTCACAGTAAATATTTTGTTCTTTATTGAATAATCAATTCTCCATTATTTTCAGTGATCTAGTGTCTCTTTTGTCATTAATTAATGAAAAATAAAGGGACTGTTGGTCATACAATTTGTTTATCTTTAGCTGATGTACAGATGTACCTTTGTCTTTCTTGAAAGGGCCAGCATTCAGAACAAAGCCAGTATTGTACATCATCTGATTGCTTCCAGTGCATTGCTGAATCTTCATCACAGCTTGGATGATAATTCTCACTGCAAAGATGGCAACAAAGATCTTCAATATTGCCAAAATCATCTGGCATGCGACATCTGCAGGAAATAGGGAATGATTCCAGGCTTCCCAACACATATGACCTTTGTCTTTCCACAGGAAATGGCTTCATATTCGACTTCTCGAGGCATTCGAGAAGGTGCTGCCGCATTAAACTTCTTGTGTAGATTGCAAGTCGTTGGTTTGGTCATACAGAGGGATGTTGCAAATGCAAGAGCAAAAAGGCCACAGCTTGTGAAATCACCTTGGGGTTGCACATCCTCGTGTCTAAGAAGAATATAGGGTTCTTGGACATCAGGAGTTTTGCTATAATCTTCTTGATAGAGCCTGGGACCATGTAATCATTCATAAATCTTGACTGCCCCAGTATCCAATGTAGCAATATTTGATATTGTTATCCAATGAGAGTCCCCCTTTAAAAGAACCTGTACGAACTCTCTATTGGATAATGCAACTAGTTTGTTTTCCATTGCTATGGTGTCCTGAAATCCAGACAAAGCAGGGAACTGTTCCTTAAAGAGATGCTGGGATGCATTTATGATATTATCTGTTATCCATCTGACTGAAGATTTTAGGATATCCTTGTCATTGTTGAGTAATTCGACTCTGCATTTGACTTAAAGACAAAAACAAGGATTATCACATACAATGGACCATCATCACTCAGCCAAACCATACAACAACATTACAAAAAGGTGTGACCTATGCTTAACAGAAAAACTATACATCATCAAAGCAAATAACAACACCCTTCTAAACAAACAATCCGAATTAATCTCCAAATGCCGACACGAAAACAAGTTTTATCTCATAAACAATAGAACTCCACCTAACTAATTAACCTGTATCTAAAAAAATTTCTTTTGTCTAACTTTATCACACCTTTTGTATATTGTACCTTTTATACCGCGGTAACAGGAATATTCTCCAGTATAGTCTGTCTGATGAGTGCGCAAGCACGAAACTCGGAGTAACAGAGAACATGTCTCATTTCTAGTCTATATTCTATTTTATTATATCTATTGCTCTGTGCTTTTGCACATCGAGCACTGTCATGTCAGAATAGACAACGCAATCTGGAATATATTTATATATAATATATATATATATATATATCTGGAATCTGGAATATATCTGGAATCTGGAATATATATGTATATATATATATGTATTCAAAAGCTCTAGACTGTAATGTTTTTTAAAAAATTTAAATAGATGATCAGTAAAAAAAACAACTTGATTACAACTTGTTGCTTGACATGTTCCATCTCCTCTCTGGTCAAGTGCTCACGAAGACCCACGCCATTTGATCATAAGCAATCTTTTCCGCAATAACTATGTCGTCTCTATACTTGAGCAGCATCAAAGAAAGAAGTTGTCTCTCTGCTACTCTTAAAATGCCCTTCCAAGAATCCTCAAATTCGTCTTTCTTCTTAATGAGTTAAGGGTGGAGGATCCCGGGTGAAAGGAAGTGACTCATTTTCTTAAAGTTAATGAGGGGAAACTAGGTAGGTTCTATTCGTTACCTAAGATTCATAAGGGATTAAGTGGGGTTAAGGGTCGACCAGTCATTTCCAATTGTGGCACCGTTACAGAAAATATATCGGAATATCTAGATCACCACCTCAATCCACTGGTTAGCCTCAGTAGGTCTTATATTAAGGATACTAATCATTTCTTGTCTAAGTTAGGTGAAATAGGTAGGATACCAGAGGGGGCTATACTGTGCACAGTTGATGTTGTGGGACTCTATCCTAGCGTTCCACATGGGGAGGGTCTGGAAGCCATCAGGGAAGCGCTGGATAGAAGGGAAAACCCAAACGTGGCTACTGATACCCTAGTGGGATTGGCATCTCTGGTTCTCGAAAGCAACTACTTTCAATTTAATGATAGGTTTTATAGACAGAAGTTAGGCACCGCTATAGGAACTAAGTTTGCTCCAGCTTATGCAAACCTCTTTATGACTGGGTTGGAAGAAAGATTGTTGAAGGAATCAGTGGACACACCCATTGTCTGGATGAGATTCATCGATGATGTTTTCTTTATCTGGACACATGACGAGGAGAAGCTCGAGACCTTCATCAACTTTCTTAACAGTAGCCATGATACCATTAAGGGCTGATTTATACGTCGCGCTTATCTCGCACCAAATCTAATATAATTAGAACCGACGAAAGCGCGAGTTTGGCGCGACAAAGGAGTTTGATTTTGATTTAGACGATGAACTTGCGTCGTGCCAATAGCAAAATACACTTCTGCGAGTTGCCAGCCACAGGGAACCAATAAACTGAAAACACTCGAAGCAAAGACAAATCACGTATGGCGCCCTTCACGCATCTAAAGAAAGTGCTTCTTCTGAAGTCGCTTATTGGAGCCAGGAGAAGACGACAGAATATGCAAGCAATGATGATTAATTTGATGAGCAGAAGACGGTGTAGGCTTTTGCGGATTCTTTTTTTGCTACAGTTGATTCTTACTGGTTTACAACAAGCAGTTGCAGTGCCTATTAGGCCTAGGATAAGATCATGCCGTAGGTTGCAGCGAAACACTGGTTGGTGGAACCTCGTTTGGACAGTATATTCCGAGAAAAGGTTTAAAAAGACATTTAGAATGACTAGGCAAACATTTTCCTTAATTCATGATAGAATCAAGGATGATTTAACGAAGGAGAGCGTCACAGAAGAACCAATTCCATCCCAGATGAGACTAGCAATTTGCTTGTATCGACTCAGTAGAGGAGACTACTACAATACCATTTCAGAGCTAGCTGGTGTCGTTGAAACAACTGTGTGCAACATAGTGAGAGAGGTAGCTAAGGCAATCATTGAAAATTTATGGGAAGAATTTGTTGAGGCCAAATTTCCACATAGCAAGGACACGCTGAATGAGAAAATGAAAGAAATGGAACAAGAATGGCAGTTTCCTTTTGCATATTCTGCAATTGATGGGTGTCACATACCAATTAAGTGCCCACCTGGTGGCCAAGAGTCATGTAAAGAATTTCATAATTTTAAGAATTTCTACTCAATCGTTCTAATGGGAATGGTAGATGCCAAATATCGATTTATATGGGCAAGTGCTGGTTGGCCTGGCAATTCACATGATGCCATAATCTTTCAAGCAACAAACCTTTATACCAAACTAGCTGAAGGTACAGCCTTTCCACCTATTGCCCATCATGAGAATGGCGTCAGTATTCCACCTTTAATCCTGGGAGATTCTGCCTTCCCCTTCAAGCCTTGGCTGCTGAAGCATTACACAAATGCCAGAGCAGAGCTATTTCAATTATAGGTTGAGTCGTGCACGCATGGTAACAGAGTGTGCATATGGACAACTGAAAGGTCGATGGAGAGTCTTGCTCAGGAAGTCTGAGAATGATAAGGAAACAGTACGTGCAGTTACACTAGCTTGTGTAGTACTACATAACATTTGCATCGAACAAGGAGATTTGGCTCAAAGGCAATGGGACCTCTCCAAAGATTCAGCATCAAATCAAAGACGTACACAAGAAGAAGTCCAAGACCTTCTTATGATAAGGCAATGCAGACCTCTAAGAGATACAAATCGTTCTGCAGCACAGGTTCGTGATTATTTGAAAGACAAGTTATTTTTAGAAAAGCAGCAAGTTTAGGGGATGCAAAGCTCCCATACTTTCAATACTCTCCCTCCCTAAATAGTATCCCCCCTAACTCCAAAATTTTACAAAATTACCATCTATTTCCATTTATTAAAACCCCCCTAAAAAGGAAAAAAATGCTTTTTTCCATCCACCCCCATTTATTAGACAACATCCCAAAGGCTTTTGGCAGCTATTTTTGATATTTTGCAAGATTCAAGGGGCTATTAGAAGCACTGATTGGCTTTTACCCCATTTGAGAGCAGAACGCTGATAGGTTGTTTACATTTTTCCTCCTTGTTATATGAATTGGTATAGTATCTTTTAGTATCGAAATATCTTTTCAACAAAATGTAAAAAAGTTAATGTTACCCCCCAACTATTAACATCACACCCCTATTTAAGCGCTGCATGACAAAATCAACCCATTTCCATTTATTAACACCCTCCACAATTATTTATCCTGGGCAAATTTCCAACTGCCTCTTTTTAATAAGTCCCCCCTACTATTAGGGGATGGAGAGTAAGCTGCATCAGCTTTGGAAAACTGACAAAGTTTCAATTATAATTCTTGACAATTGTGATTTCTGGAGCCACTTTGACACTATTTATACACTACTTATGTTCTTATGTTGTACATTGTAGTTTGTATTAAATAATGTTTCTTATGTAATTACTTGTAGATTGGATTTAGGATTAATTGATAGATGAATGGAAACTGAAACTGAAAACTGAAACTGAAATATGATGTGATTCTAAATGTTTATAGCTGAAATAAATCATCTGACTGGGATTGATGTTCAAAGTTTTGATTCCTTGGAGGATAATTATCTTGTGGAGTAAATGCTTGTCGAAATTGTTGTCTTGGATCCATACTGTATGACTGCTGCATGTTTTGGGGGAAATGTTGATAAGAAGGAGGCTGTGGAACTGGTGGTTGGAATTGCTGCTGTGCTTGATTTCCATTGAACATCATTGTGAGTAATCTCATTTCATGTTCTCTTGATCTTTGATTCTCTCTCTCAAGAAATGCTAGCATGTCAGCCATTGGGTCCTTTTTTAGCTGCTCAGTGACCTCAAGGATTGCTTTTGATGTTATTTTTACCAGATCATCAAGCTTTTCCTTTTTTCCAGCTGCCTTTTTGATGGGAACAAATGGCCTCTTCTTTGAAGGAAGATTTGCTCTTGTGGGAGTTGAAGTTCCTGAGGAGGTCTCTGGTGAAGGACCTTGGCCAAACTCATTGTTGTTGTAGCCCCCCTCTTCATTTACATGATTCACTTCAGTTGAGGTTGGACTTCCTTCTTGACTGTCATGTGAACAAGTTGATGGTTCAATGGCCTGCTCTGGCTGACAAGATTCTCTGGACTTGACAAGAGGCAGCAGTTGATTAAACTATTTTCCATAGTCCCTGTCCTCCTGAAATCGCTTTATGCCAGATGCAGATTTGCAGGTTAAGGCAGCCTTCTTGCACTCACTCACGCACTTCTTGAACTTATTTCTAGTTTGGACAAGGCTGAACTTGTATTCTTGTCTCCTAGCCTGGCAACGTTTCTCCACCTCTTTGATTACCTCAATATGTAAACACAAAAGTTGCAAAAGGAATCAGCATTTTAAGTAAAGTAAGACAATTTGTTCCACAAAGAGTATTGCTAAACATATACAATGCATTTGTACTACCAAATATTCTTTACGGTCTTTTAAATTGGGGAAATGCATCTAAAACCACTCTTGACCCAATTAATAAAAAAATAAAAAAGCCATAAGATTAATAACATTTAAAAGTAAAACTGAGCACAGTGAACCTCTTTTAAAATATCTAAACCCTCTTGATCTTGAAGATTGTTATAAATTCAAATGTGCTAAAATTATGTACAATTTAAATAGTAACATTTATAATACTACTTTTGGGAAATTATTAAAAAAAATCCAAAGACATTCATAACTTTAAAACAAGGCATGCTACATCAGGGAAATTTTTCAAACCATCCTTTACAACAAGCTATGGTAAAGGTTCTATAACAAATTCTGGTGTTGATATTTGGAATTCCATTCCAAAAGATAGAAATTCCTGATTTCAAAATACTAGAACCTATGAGTTATATATCGATCAAATTCATGTAACTAAAATGGCCTTTTTCTTTCGCTTTTCAAACAACACATTACATGCCTCTTCCGCTTCACTTTCTGACCCAAAACTCCCTCTTTCGTCCTCATTAAAAATTTCGGATTCCACGCCAGCTTCCTAACTTTCGCTGCCGCAATCCACGCTATTGCTTACATACACGTCTGCTTCTGCCATTTTCCTTCAGAGATGAATACAAGAAGCAAGAACAACCCAACTATACTTTGGCGCCAACAAAAACTTAGCACCACTGCGCTTGCGCAACTAATGTATTTGACGGACTGGAAAAAACACTATTTGATTCAAGTCATCAAAAGCGCGACGTCTAAAGCCAACTCGCGCTTTGGTCGTGTAGCACGGCTGATCATGACGAACTTGAGTCGCACCTAGCATTTGTATCGAGCTAAATTGCAAATTGGATTTATACGCCGTGCTAATGATGAATCTAATCAATACTTAGATTTTGAAGAGGCAAAGTATTTCATTCGGTGCGAGATAAGCGCGACGTATAAATCAGCCCTAAGTTTACAGGGGAGCACTCCAGGGAGAGTATAAGTTTTCTAGATGTTAAGGTTAGTGTAAGTGAGGGGGAGTCCTAACGACAGACTTGTTTTGTAAACCTACTGATACACATCAGTATTTACATAAGAAGTCTTGCCACCCATGGCATACCAAGAAGGCAATACCCTATAGTCAGGCTTTAAGGTTACGTAGGATTTGTTCGTACGATCGCCAGTTACGGGATAGGTTAAAGGATTTGACTGGATGGTTAAAGGTAAGGGGGTATGAGGAATCACTTATAACAGAACAGATAGATAAGGCACGTAAGCAGGATAGGGTAACATTACTGGATAAGGCTAATTGGAAACAAGATCACAATGGGAGTGGGCTGGTTCCGTTGGTTACCATTTACCATCCAGCCTTGAATAATTTGGGCAAGGTGGCCGGGAGACTCAATTCTATGCTGACGATATCGGAAGAGCATAGGAAGGTGTTTCCTCAGCCACCTTTGATATCATTTAAACGATGTAAGAACCTTAAAGATTTACTAGTTAGGGCAAAACTTTATAATGAGGGGGCAGGTACCACGCATAATAGGGGTTGTACTCCATGTGGCAAGTCTCGATGTCAAGTGTGTAATGTTATGTGTGACAGTGATACTTTAACTTCCCATATAACTGATAAGGAATATAAGATAAATTTTTCGTTTAACTGTGATTCATCCAATGTTGTGTATCTTATGGAATGTAAAGTATGTGGTGTACAGTATGTGGGTAGCACTTGCACGCCGTTTAGGCTTAGGTTTAATAACTACAAGGTGTGCAATCGTAAGTTTATCGGGGGCTCTTCAGGTATACCTCAGGCTGATTTTTTCCGGCATTTTGCAGGGAATGAACATCATGGGTTTCTCGAAGATATTAAAGTAACTATTATAGATAGACTTAATGGGAATGGTAGGATACGTGAAAGTTTCTGGCAGTATAAGTTAGAAACTTTCGCGTCCCGGGGCCTTAATATTAGGTTAGTTGAACATAGTTTTATTTTTATTTCCAATCTCTTGGATTATTTTCTCCTTTTCACAGCTATTTATTATTTCCACATAATATTATTTTCTAATCTTCATGGTAGGGACAGACAGCATTCACCCTTTCTCGTTTTTGTGCATTCCTGGGTAGTTAACCATCTGCCTCCACACTTCTCTTTTGTTCTTTTATCTATTGTATTTATTCCGCTTTTCTCACCTTCAGCTGGGCCTAGAAAGTTTACTTGTGTCGTATAATTAGCTATTATTGTCCTTGCTTTTAAAATGTGTTCTTTTGTCCTATTGTTTTGTATTCCTTATTTTACGCTCCAAATGTAAGTGAAGGTTATTCTGAAGAAGCATATTGCGAAACGTTAATCAAGTTGTTTTTTTACTGATCATCTATATATATATATATATATATATATATTTATATCTCTCTAATGCAATATATGATTCACTGAGAGAGAGGGTTGCTCACGCTTACGTTTATATAGGAAAATTTCAATAAATTGTATAGACATTTTTTTATATATGCAAGTATACTTCTGAGTATTACAGTATTTGTATAAAGTATGCCCCCGTCCTTTAGACAGAAATTTTCAGGGGAAGAAGAACAATGTTATGGACCTTGCACCAAGCGAACTCAGATGTCTCTGGTGACTAATATTTACAATGTGCACTGTTTTCTTTATCAATGAACATATTCGAGGGATGCCACGTTCCTTGATCACTGTGATTTGTTGGGGGTTTCTATGTCCTCTTGTGATCACATAGTTCCCAATGAGTGTGGCATTCCTCGAAAAGTGACATAATTCGCCATTCTAGATTCCCTGTGTTTCTACTGGGGACATTTGAATACAAGTGCTGTATGCGTTTTTACAATGGATCTTGTTCAAGTATAAAATTGCGCTTTATCATACGCTTTAAACTCATGCATATCTAACAATACCATTGAGAAAATTTAACTTTTTCCGTGAAAAGAATCTGTGTGCAATTGTTTCTAAGTTGTCAATAAAAAGGGTTGAAATGCTCGATTTTGTCTCGAAAAGAGAAATACCAAAATGTGCGAATGGATTGGTCAAAGGTCGAAGGGGCACACAGTAAGAAACGTGTTGTCATACTCCGTGAAACGAAGGATAAAACCTTTCGCTGTCCGGTAGAATTTTGCGAGAATCGTACATTTTTCAGCAAAAGAGGTTACCGAAAACACATAGACACCAAGCACAGATGGTATTATTTTTTCGATGAGAAGCCGAGTGATAAAGTTATTGAAAGGTCGGCTGAACAGAGTACCCAGAGAAGTCACAAACATATCGAAAGTGCCAGAAGATGTGTAGATACAACTAAAAGGCCACATTTCTCAATCTCTGAAGGGGTTGGAAAGCAGTATGTTGATTGGCTTTGTGCTGTTTGTGGCGGGGGACTGTCAGCAGCACAGGCAACACAAAATGCTACTCGTGTAATGAAATTCTTGAAATTTTGCAGCGAAGATGATGAAGACAATCTCACAGAACAGCTTGTGGACTACAGCATAGGATCCGCAGGACTTATATGCAGTTTTATCGAGCATATCGGAAAAGAATGGGGCCTAGGCAGCTCAGCTCAATTTGGGTATTTACAAGCAATCACAGATTTGATCGACTTTCGTAAATCCAGTGGATTATCGACAACAGTGCTTGGCAATTTGGCGGTTTCTGAAGTTTACATAAACCGAGGAAAAAAAGCACTGGCTAAAAGGAAAATCAGGGAATGGTCAAAAAACCTGTCGATCGAAGTCCTTTCTGGCTGTAATCAGTGGGCGACAATGGAAGAAATGGAGAGAGTTATACCGTACCATCTTCCACGCTACAAAGATGTGTTGACGAATTGTAAAGGCTATCCTTTGACTGCCATTACACCTGCGGACCTTACATTTGCCACTCGATTAGTAGCTGTGTATATGTTTACAAGAGTGAAAGGATCACGCACAATGACGTATCAATTTCTAACAGTATCAATGTTTGAAAAGTTGAGGGAGAATAATGGGTTTGTGGACCAGACTGAGTTTAAAACTGCACAACAGTACACCTTTGATTCATTGATACTTGATGAGACAAGCACACGACTCCTTGACGACTATATTTGTCATGTTAGGCCTCTGTTGAACCCTCAGTGCGAATATGTACTGGTCACAAGAAATGGAACACAGTTTAAACAGTTAAGTAACCTGATGTCAGAACTCGTTTTTCAGGCAATCAGGAAATACGTTCATCCGACCAGATTTCGTCAGATTGTTGAGACGGAGAGCTCGCGTAAACTTTCTGCCGAAGAGCAAGAAGTCGTGAGCGGAGACCAAAAACACAGTTCTCAACTATCAAAAGTATCAAAAGCGCAATTCACGCGAAATTGCAGTAAATGCCAAATCGGCGATGAAAAAGTTGCAGAACAAAGAAGTTGATAGAAGTTTAAAAAGAATCATTCTAGACAACAAAAATTCGTCTGATCAAGACTGCTGCTTGGAAGAAACCGAACAGCACCAGCCAATAACGCCAGGAAGAAATGGGAAAGAAACAATTTGCGTTAATCTCGACAAAGCGGGTAACGAATCGTGTAGAGCTTACTCGCCCCCAGATTGCAATGCTGACAAGTTGAAAGCAAAGCCAGTCGTCAGTAGAAGGGTGCCATTTACTCCAGAGGAGGACTTTTTTTCTAAAAAAAAGTTTGAAAGTTTATGGATTTGGAAAGTGGACGGCTATGCTTAAGGATCCTAGATTTAAATTCAATAGCAAACAGACCTCTGATTCTCTAAAAAAAAGAGCAGAACTGCTTGCTAAAAAGTCACTTAAATAATGACCTTGTCAGTATTGTAATAACCTTTCTGTATTCTTGTGTTAAAGATTGGTTGGAAATAAAGAAAAAAATTGGTTGGAAATAATTTTCTTCTTAATTGAATTATTGTTGTTATATTTAATTAAATTATTGTTATATATGTTATATTTTTCTTATATCTAACTTAACTAAATTGTTATATTTAATTATCAAAAAGTATCTGTTTTACACCAAAATGAGATTGACCTCGTTTAATTTCGTCAAAAGACACTTAAGTTTTCTCGCAAAGGCTGAGCAACTAGGAGCACCGATAATTTACAATGAGTTGCAGGGAGTAGGAGTGAGCCAAAGTAGAGCAAAGAAAGAGGCTGGTCTCTGTTTCGTCACATTACATCACTTTGGCTCACTCTAGCTCATCCCAACTCATTTGAACTCATCTTAGTTACTTGTCGCTCCTTGGTTTGGCGAAAAAGTAAAATCTTTATGTGCAGCCAAAAGTATTTTTTGATAATATTTTAATGAAAGTCTTTAGTTCATATTGATTTTTATATTTGTACTACGTATATTCTATATGATTGTAGTAATTCATCCCTTTATTAAGATTTGATGTCATCGAAGAAAACTTTTCAACTCAACAACATTTTTTTTAAATATATAAAACTACAAGTTTATGATGAACTACAAGATATAAAAATTAATATAACTCAAAAGGCATTTGAAAACAAAGGTTTATTCTTCTTCGTCGCTTGATAACTTCAGATGTTTTCTTCACCTTTGAACAATCATAGTTCGTGGACGCTTTTTTGGCGTTTTTTGCGTTTTAAAGAAGCTCTCGTCGTCACTGGCAGTCTTGTCATTATTTGAATCAATCGATTCGTTGATCGGCGTGGGAAGCTGACTGATACCACAGTACGTTTCCCTCAAGAGTTCTTTCCATCGAGGAAATGTTTCCGAAAACAATTTGATATCAAATTCTGGTCTTGGCGTTCCTTCGATGAGAAGCCAGGCATCATACATGGAATCGGGCTTTTTCCAGGAAAGTAGTCGTCTTCTTTGGAATCTTTCCAAGCCTTCATCCGTTGCATCCAATAAATCCCAGTTTGGTTTAGAAGTGATCAAAAGAAACACAGCTTTGTGGTATGAAAATACATTGATGGGCCCAAAAGTGACGAAACAGCGACTTTCCTCCCTCACCCAGTTCGGATTCTCGTCTTCGTCGTCCAAGATGATCTGGTCAATAATTTTCAGTTGGCACTGCTCCTTGAGGGTGCTCAGCTGTTGCTTCATCGTTTGCAATTATAATGCTCTGCGAGAATTGAACTTTTTCTATTTCTTCAATGTTAATCATCCTGGATGATTGCCCTTCATTGAAATCGTTAAAAATGGCACCCTCATCATGGTGTTGCTGCTCCGCTCTTTCAATTTCCTCGACTTCCCACAATGGGGTGTCGCGTAATTCATTGGCGCACCAATGGAAGCATTGCATGCAGTTTTTCCTCAGGTAGTTTGTTGCGTGAGGATTTCTTTCCTTCAAAGATCTTGTTTTGAATACAGCCAACCGTGTCTGAATAGCAGCGTCATCGATTTCTGTAAACGAAGGTATTGAGTTGCATGTAATGTAAACCCCAAAGCAGTAAACGACATGCTTAGCTTCTTTGTGCTTCTGTGGTAGAGCAATATATCCTCCTTGCAGGATCCTTTTCGCGTCGTCTGCACTCAGCGCATCTGGTGGCCATTCATCGACAATCAAGCACTCCGTGTCGCCACTGAACATGCTGGCCATACAATAGATAAAAGAACAAAAGACATTTCTCGTTTTTGTGCATTCCTGGGTAGTTAACCATCTGCCTTCGCACCTCTCTCTTTTGTTTTTTTTTCTATTGTATTTATTCCGCTTTTCTCACCTTCAGCTGGGCCTAGAAAGTTTACTTGTGTCGTATAATTAGCCATTATTGTCCTTGCTTTTAAAATGTGTTCTTTTGTCCTATTGTTTTGTATTCCTTATTTTACGCTCCAAATGTAAGTAAAGGTTATTCTGAAGAAGCATATTGCGAAACGTTAATCAAGTTGTTTTTTTTACTGATCATCTATTTAAATTTTTTAAAAAACATTACAGTCTAGAGCTTTTGAATACATATATATATGACAATAACATCGACCACTCCATTTCCTGGCGCATCCTCTCAAAAAAGCCATCCTACAGCAGCTCAAACAAAAGATGCAGCCTTTGCTTTAAAGAAAAGACCCTCATTATCTGCCACCCTGAATTATCAACACTCAACAAACGAAACGAACTCGTATCTTCTTGCCGCCATAGAAACAAAACACTATTATGTAACACCTGAATCCCTTTATGTACCGCCCCTAATTCACCTTTTGTATAACCTCACACATTATGTAACACCTTCTGTACCGTATTATCTATTTATTCAAGAAATATTCCAGTATATCAACATCTCCTGAAGAGTGAGTTACTCACGAAACAGGCTTGTAGAGATAAACCATGTAGTTTTACTTTCTTCAATCTATGATATATATATTATATATATCAATATTTCCAGATTCCAGATTATTATTTCTATTGTATTGTAGTGTTCTATTGTAATTTAGGTTGATAAGTAGGCTCCTCTGATTTTGTAAAGTTATTACTGATGAAGCGAAAGCGAAACGTCTTACGAAAGTGGTTTCTTTGATTCTATATACTATCGTTTAAACATTTTACATTATGAGCTTTTGAATACATCTATGTATCTCATAGAATATATATATCATAGATTGAAGAAAGTAAAACTACATGGTTTATCTCTACAAGCCTGTTTCGTGAGTAACTCACTCTTCAGGAGATGTTGATATACTGGAATATTTCTTGAATAAATAGATAATACGGTACAGAAGGTGTTACATAATGTGTGAGGTTATACAAAAGGTGAATTAGGGGCGGTACATAAAGGGATTCAGGTGTTACATAATAGTGTTTTGTTTCTATGGCGGCAAGAAGATACGAGTTCGTTTCGTTTGTTGAGTGTTGATAATTCAGGGTGGCAGATAATGAGGGTCTTTTCTTTAAAGCAAAGGCTGCATCTTTTGTTTGAGCTGCTGTAGGATGGCTTTTTTGAGAGGATGCGCCAGGAAATGGAGTGGTCGATGTTATTGTCTTTTAGGGTCGAGATGTATTTACTGAGTTCTGTGGAATTCCTGTGTTTTGTGTGACGGAAAGATGCGGTGTGATTTCTATATCTTGTCTTGAATTCGTTTTCTGCAAAGTCCGATGTATGTTTCTGTAGTGTCAATGTCTCTGCGTGTGACGGTGGCTTGGTAAATGACTGATGATTGTAGGCAGTTCCAGTTGAGTGGACATGTGTTCGCTTGTCGGCAGTTGCATGTTTTGTTGACATTGGTGTTTTCCAGGGTGGTGTTGGTGTTGTGGGACTTTAGGATGCGTTTGTTGTGACTGTCAATGGCTTGCTTGGTGTTGTTCATGCAGCTGTAGCTGATCTTTATTGTGTTGCGGTTGAAGATTTTTCTGAGTATGTGGTTTTTGTGGAAATGTTTGTCAATGAGGTTGAGGAATCTGTGTGCGATGTTGGTGCTGACGTTTTTGCTGAATGGGGGGTTATACCAAAGTATGTTGCTCCGTTTTCTGTTTTTTCTTGTGGTATTAGAAGTTGGTTCGTAGTGTAGGGTGTATTTGTATCTGCTTTCGTTGAGTGCTTTTTGGTATGGTGGCGTGGCTTGGTCGAATGATGCTTTGTCAGAGGAAAGTGATGACAGACGTTTGTTGATGCCGATTGGTATATGTTTTGCTGTGGTTATTGGGTGGTTGCTCTCGCGGTGGACATACTGAAGGATGGTGTCAGGCTTTGTGTATGGCTGGAAGGTACCTTTTTTCAGATTGAGGGTGACATCTAGGAAGTTGATGATCTGTTTGTTGGCTTCTATCGTGATGGGTAGTCCGTTGTGGCTAAAAATTTGACATATTTTCTTTTTGATATTTTCGGTGACTCTTGGTGGTGAGTTTGAAATGGCTAGTCCGTCGTCTCGGTATAGTCCTACATTGATGTCGAGGTGTTGTAGTTGTGACAGCAGAAAGCTTCCAACCAACTCGCATGTTTCAGCACCGTCGTAGCTGCCCATTGTAACATTGAACGTGGTGTTATTTTTCTTTTTCCATGGTTGATTTTTGTAAACAAGGATGGAGTTTTTGGCATGAATGATGATGTTACGTTCGTCAGTTGTAATATTGTCATAGTCTGAGGCGAAGTCGAGTGCTCTGTTTAGGAGTTCTTGGCTGATTGAAGGGTAGAAGTCTACAACATCGAAGCTGATGAAGGTGTTGTTGTGTTTGCTTTCGGTGGCTTTAAACCATTCCATTACCGATGTTGTGTTCTTCCAATGATTGAATTTGTGCGAATTGGTGATTTTGTGGTTGATTCGATTGAGTATCGTCTTGCTGATTTTGCCTATCTCAGACTTGGTAAGGTTGATTAGCCGGCAGGCTGGTTTGTTTGTGAAGTTTGGTTTGTGGTCTTTAAGTGTGATGAATGCATCTTTGTTGGCTGTAGAGTCTACTCTGTCGTTGATACCCAGTTTTGCTGCGATGATTTTGTTTTGTGCATGGATTTCCTTTGTGGTGCTGGGTTGTGCTTGTTTGTATAACTTTGTGATGTTTTGGTGCAGGAGGTCGTTATATGTTGCTGGCTCGAGTTTGTAGAAGTTTGTTGTTTTGTCAGGGGAGTTAATCAGTTTGGTTTCGTCATTGATGCGTTTGGTGTCGTCTTTAAGTTTGTTCAGAAATGGAGAAACTGCTCGGTTTTTTCAATTATGCGCTGTAGGTAGTCGTTGCGTGATGGTAGAGGAATATTCTTTGTTGAGTAGTCGAAGGTGAATTTCTCCATTGCGGATTATCGGAGAGTGCTCAACAAGCCTTAGCTTGGAGCAAATTTAGAAATTTGTCTTTTGATACTTCCGTAGCACAGTGCTCAATACGTTAGCACGTAGAGCGTGATATATCATAGATTGAAGAAAGTAAAACTACATGGTTTATCTCTACAAGCCTGTTTCATGAGTAACTCACTCTTCAGGAGATGTTGATATACTGGAATATTCCTCGAATAAATAGATAATACGGTACAGAATGTGTTACATAATGTGTGAGGTTATACAAAAGTTGAATTAGGGGCGGTACAAAAAGGGATTCGAAGGTGAATTTCTCCATTGCGGATTATAAGAGAGTGCTCAACAAGCCTTAGCTTGGAGCGAATTTAGAAATTTGTCTTTTGATACTTCCGTTGCACAGTGCTCAATACATTAGCACATAGAGCGTGATATATCATAGATGATATAAAATATAAATATATATATTGCTTTTGTGGCATCAATTTTGTGTTGTTATATATATATATATATATATATATTTATTAATTATCATATTGCTGTCTAGAGTGCTCAACTTACCGGAGCGATTAGATAGACTAAAATAAACAGACTATTGTGACACAACTCTGAGTTTCATGTGTAAACAATCATTAGGTGTATAAAATCAGGACTTTTTAGATATACGCCTGGACCTTCAAAATAATACTATTCAACCATATCGAAAACCAAATAACAATCCTGTCTACATCAACAAACATTCTAATCACCCGCCGACAGTATTAAAAGAACTACCTAAAGGCATCAACATACGGATATCAGAATTATCATCAACTGAAGAAATTTATAGAAGAGAAATGACCGTATATGAAGAAGCTCTTAGAAAAAGTGGTTTTAACGACAATTTGAAATACATCCCCAAAGATACCGAGAAAAGGAAAAATGAAGATAAAAAGAAGCGCAAACGGAAAATTATTTGGTTTAATCCACCCTACTCGAGGAATGTCAAAACCAACGTGGGCAAAATCTTCTTAAAGCTTGTAAAGAAACATTTCGCTGATGATGAAAAACTGGCTAAAATTTTTAATAAAAACACAATCAAGGTTAGTTACAGCTGCATGAAAAATATAGGTTCCATAATATCCTCACACAACAAATCTGTTTTAAACCCAAAAAGCAAGGAAGAATATGGATGTAACTGCAAAAACAAAGGCGACTGCCCATTAGGAAATGAATGTTTAACACCCAACCTCATATATGAAGCAACAGTTAGCAACGATAAAGATGATGAAAAGAAAAAATATATTGGCCTCACCGAAGGTACATTCAAACTACGATATGCTAACCATAACAAAGATTTTAAACACGAAAGATATAAAAAGAGTACCGAACTTTCAAAATATATTTGGAAATTGAAGGAACAAGGAAAGATACCAACCATTAAATGGAGAATTGTCAAGAGAATAAAAAGCACAGCTAGAAGCAACTTTTGTAAATTATGCCTGACAGAAAAATTTTATATAATTCAGTCTTTAGGGGACAATAAAATACTTAATAATAGAACAGAATTTATAAGCCAATGTAGACACCAAAACAAACTTTTGATTAGCAATTTTCGATCTTAGAATGTAGTTGTTATGATTTATCACTCTGCACAATTAACTTCGTTTGATTGTGTTCGATTATTCGTTTTCACCGTTATATCTTGCTTGCCGTTAGCTTGTGTTCTTTTATACACCTGATGATTGTTTACACATGAAACTCAGAGTTGTGTCACAATAGTCTGTTTATTTTAGTCTATCTATATATATATATATATAAATATATATATATATGTATTCAAAAGCTCATAATTTAAAATGTTTAAACGATAGTATATAGA